CTTTGATCTACAGTTTGTTATACAGATGGACTGATCAGAAATTATGTACTTCATTTATATAATTTCAGGAATTATGCTTAACAATTCCGACATTTTTTGTGTTTCCGATCTTTTTTTTTTGGGGGGGGGGGGTGAGTTTTATGTATACCAAGTTTTTGAATAATCGATAGGTTAAAAAAAATCATGTATACTTGAATTATATTATGTCAGTGATTGCACTTTATCTGAGACACATGATACTGATCTCAATATTTAACATGGTTTTCTTTAAAAACGAAGCAAAGCTTTTACCATTATTATTTTGATGTCAATGATTTATTGTTCAATTTTGATTTTCAGTTCGTAAAGTCTTCAATCCCAGTTTTATTACCTGAAATTTACTCTTTCATAAATGTGGGAAAATAAAAGTCAACTAAAAATTGCCAAGAGATTCATTCTTTTCGATATATATCGGTATAATAAAACAATTGATTACGCTTTGTGAGTTCAACATGGTGAAATGAGGACCCTCGACATACATATACATATTTTTATTATACCGAATAGGGCCATTCTTTAAACGTGAGAAAAAGTACAATCTGCTTGCATATAACGACATATAGATATGTTTGACCGGGAAATTTTTATATTTATGAGATATTATACATTCTTACATTTTTTTTCCATTATAAAAGGGGGATATTATCCATACTTCAGGTGCCTGTGATTGGAACGGGGCAGTGTCCAATCAAAAAATTGTTTTATACGGTTGAAACGAAGTAAGAGACAAACTATTTTAAAATGATGGAAAAATATTTAGTTTGTTGATTTCAGTTTGGTATAAACGATTTTTCAACGGTGTCTACAAATTCAAAGACACTAAAAAAAATAAAAAAAAATAAAAAAAAAAAATTAAAAACACATGTTATTTGCTGAAAATGGAGACTTCTATTCATGACGTTGTTATAGATCTAGTGCAGCTCCGGACTTCGCTGTGCAGTTTAATTTTGTATACAAACTGTTTATGTTGATGAAGCTCGTGAATTTTTGTGATTTATTTTGAATTTTAAGAATTAAATAAATTATAATTTATACTTAAAGATTATTGATAGCACTTGGAAGTGTATCGCCATAAAAAAGAAATGTAGTACGTGTCCATGAACACGTGTTAAAATTAAAAATCCAAAAGTTGACGTTTAAATGAAACTAGATTAAGTCAGACCGGTCTGTGCGCTCTATCTTCGACCTATAAAGACCCCGATTTTTGACAAAAATATTAAGTTCCGTCAATAAAAACTAAATCATTCTGACTTGCTTTTTCATAAGAAATTTTTTGGTTTACAATAGATATATACAGAATCATTTATTTTAACAAAAACGTCATTGTCCACGAACTTTTTGTCAACCCTCGTACACTGTAATAATTTTTATCAAAAGAAGCTAAAAGAAAACATTTTTTAAAAAAATATATTAATTTTTTTTACCTAACCTTCGAACTTCAGAATCAAAAGAGGTCCTATTTGGTGTTATGGTATATTAACTTCATTGAAAAATCTCAAACGCTTTTAAAATATCGTTGGAACTGAGTGTTATGCACAAATAAATAAATAATTTCATGACCTTGACTTTTTTAACTCAAAAAATTACGGATGTCCCCTTCAAGCCAAGGAGAGTTTTGAGACAGACAGAGAGCTAGACGGAAAGACATTTGATTGACAGACAGACCCAAATTAACTTTCAGTGAAAGGAGGGGAAAACGATAAAATATTTCGTACTTTAAAACAATGTTTCATACACTGGTGTAAAATCGACCGTTCGTTAATCGTTTTAGAAATACCTGTTCATATGTTTAATGATCCTCCCCCCGCCCACTCACCCCCACCCCTTACACACACACACACACACACACACGGAAAATCTGTGTAAGAAAAAATTTGAAATCTGGCAGTTACCTTCTCACAAAACTGTTTCCTTAAGTTATTATAGCAACTTTTATATTAATACCAACACTTTCCAATATTATATATAGAAATACTATATTTTCCTGGTCAGTAGGTAGCACGAACTACTGAATACAACTCTTTATCCTACAAGGTATAGAAGTAATCCCTAGTAAATATCAAGTCACAAACATACACGTACATGTATAACAAAACAGGATGTAGATGTGGCACATTTTAATTTGGACAAACTGTGAAATATATAATGACAATGATAAATAAATGGTCAACTAGATAGAAATATATAATAGTCGTACAATCGATAGATACATGGACGGACACTGTCTTTGTCAACACTATACACCAGACAACTACTGATGTAAGGGCGGGGGTACAACCTATGGAACTTAAAGAACAAAACTAAAATTCATTTCATTGTTCAAAACTAAACTCATGTAATGATAAAATTATTTAAAACAATTATGTTGAAACTTTCTTCCTGTTTCTAACTGGTTTCAAGATACATTCAATGAAAATAGAGAATAGATTTAAATGATACTTAAATTTGGCCCAAAGAAGTTTCATTGAAACAAAAAATAATATAAACTTTGAAGATAATTGAAAAGAAAAGTAGTGTTATTTGAATATTTTGTTTCTACACTTGTGCTTCAAAATTAAATAATATAACAAAGTCAAGTCTAACAATGTACAAAGACACAGCACAACTTCCTGGCAAATTATAGGAAACTTTAAAAATTAAGTTCTGCATTATAAAGTCATTGCAAAATATTGTCATCTAAAAGACAAATGAGTTTTGTAAATATTGAACCCCCTTTTTCTTTTACTCCTTGCAGGCAATAAAGAAATAAAGCAAAAAAAAAAAAAATATGTGAAAATAACAAATCATTTTTAATTTGCTTTTATACAACTTATTATTTTTATTCAATTTCATAAAAGATAAAAATGACCCAGAGCAGACTTTACAAACTCTATCTTTTAGCTTAATATCATTATATGTCACTTCGAGTTCAATTCAAATTTAAAAGTTACATGTAACATTCTTAAAAATACTTCAATTCAACATATTTACTAGTTGTTCACTCAGTATGTATTTTCAAAAAGTATAGCACTTTATCCCCAATATTAATAAATAAATTACTTCACACTAATACTGTACATATCACAACTAGATAAGAATAATAATAATACAGGTAATAATTAAAAATATGAAATTTTTTATCAATGTAATTTCTCTTTAATATTCTGGTGAAAAAAATACAAACTTTGTCTGACATTTTTGAAATCAGAAAATCTTAATTTGATCAAATTTGGAAAAAAAAAGTTTGTTTGTGCAAGTATAACAGTGAAATCACCTGAACTAAACACAACGGTAAAGGGACATCACTCTGCTCTGCCTCTAATAACAATCTACTGTTAAAATTTCCCCTCCCAAAAATAAGATACTGTAACATCTTTTATTTGCCACTAGCATTCGTATACACTTCATAAACTTAAGTCTTTTGGTGGTGAAAGCTGACTTGAAAAATGATGTAACTAGCATTCACAAGGATGCCTAGAAACCACGTACGGTATTTATTCAGCCATAAAATATTACTGGATATGGCAAATGCGGGTTTTTTTGCGTGTGCTAAGTTTTTCACAGTATTCAAATGGATGTAAAAGAGCAGAGCAAGAGAGAGAGAGATGACAAAAAATTAAAAAAAAGTTTGCACAATTGGCAAAGCCAACACCATAAAAACAAGTCATATACAAACGTTTTTGTTATAAAAATATCACTAAAATATAACGTAACACATGTCGAATGTTCCCCCTGTTTATCACAACCACAATGTAAAATACAACAAACTGGGATTTTCAAGACTAATGGGGGAAAAGTGTCTGTTGCCACATGTTTATAAGTCATGCAACAACCATATAAAGGGGGTGGGGTATTAAAATGCCCATGTGATATGCATATGGACGGAAACAAATAAGTCACAATTAGAGTACTTAGGAATCATTTGATATACAAAATCAAATCACAATACCTGCTTTTCTAAAAACATCTGGGAAAAAAAACCAACTTCACAAAGACATGTGTAAAAACAGAGTTAGGTTAAAAACAGCCGAGTCAGAAATCGAAAAATTACACAGTGACAACAGAGAAATGGAAAATAAGTTTAAACAACAGACAAATATCTCTAAAAAAGTTAATTAAAAGAAGACGCCCATGGTGACAAAGGAATTAATGCAGAGTACATTAAACGACACCGGAAAGGACTATAGTCACTACGTAATGAAAATTCAAGAAGAAGCTGAGAAGACAGCCAAATATTTAAGGGAACAAAACAACGCCTTGCTGATGACAATTGAAACATTAAAGGATGAAAGAGATCATCTACAATTACAGTACACACTTATCCATTGGTTGTGATTGGGATACTTCTTTTATCAAACCCGCGACAGGGAACTATTCCCCGAGGGCTCAAAATGACCTTCGTTCCGCACATCTACATAACATACCTAGTAACCCCAAAAAGGTTTCACCTAGATCGGATGCGTAGTTTATGAGAACACTCGCGGGCAAAAAAGTACCTAGGAAGAAGGAAAATCCGAGGAAAGTAAAAACAATATGTTCCCCAACTTCGTTAGGGGAACACACTAACACTTTTTTCCAAGCATGTTTCCTTAGTATTTTTGTTGTATTCACTCGTAACGAAACTCATTTAGCTGATTGGTCAGTAAGAAGCCATCGCCAATGCCTTGATTAGCATATGAATATATTCTTAGGTCAGAAAATCTAGTTTCTTCGATCTGTTCATAAAGGGAAAGGCCAGTTAGATTTTACAATCTTTTTAAAAAATCATGTGACTGAGCGCAGTTAGGTAAAGTTTTCCTCGGTATATGTAGATTTCATTAAAATACAGTGACCAGCAAAAGGAGAAAAATGTACCTACTTGCGCTGGTATATTTTAAGGGCCTCAAAGAGTGAATATGTCACCACATCATTTTCCGTTTTCCGCTTCGCGTTTAAGCAACATTTATCTGTCTGATATGCGCGATTTTTCGGAAGATAGAGACAGGCAATACCAGTCTAGCGTATAACTGTTACATTTTCTAGGCCAGGTCCTTTTTGAATCTATGTTTATCTCCAATCAGGAAGTGAATTACTGACTCTTCGCATTCCTCCATCCCTAAAACTGTAAGTTTATACAATTTATGTATATATTTAACATATATATTACTGAACCTTTTTATGAATTATAAAGAAATGATTTTATGACATACGTGGATTTGGGACGTGCATGAACAGGGCCTCGTCACGACTTATTTGTCTTCTTTAAACTTGACCATCCCGGTTTTTAATCTAAAACACACTATTATAGTATGGAAGTGGCCAAATTAAAAGAAAAAATAAGTCGTGACGAGTGTTATTGTGCATATGCACAGTAAATATCGAATTAATAAAACTTAGATCTTTATCTTACTGATTTAATACAGAATACACTCAATTTCTTTTTTAACACACTTTTCATTAATTGTAGATAGCTTTATCTAAAATGGATATTCCCCGCCGAGCCCAGCACTTTTTAGAGTGTGGCATTGAAGAATGTAAAAGAAACTGCGAGTTCTATTGCAACCCTTGCCATCAAAGATTGTGCAAACAATGCAGCGATGCACATCTGAAAAGTCCTGAAAACAAGAACCATGAGGTGGTCCTTTACCAACAACGCAAACGACAACTTCTTGCGGAGAAATGCAAGATCCACCCCACTAAAGATGTGGACATGCTCTGTGAAGAATGCCAGGTTCCAGTGTGTTCCAAATGTGTTACACAGCAAATTCATCGGGGTCATATATTTACTGATCTAGAGACAATTTATGCAGAAAAATATGCAGATTTCCAACAAGAAATCTTTAAAATCCAGGAATATTTTCTTCCCATATCACAAGATTTACAGAAAGAAATTAAAAAAGATTCCTCAGAAATGAAACACATCATGGACAACATCAGAACATCCATGAAGACTGAAGGTGAAACCCTAAAAAGTCTAGTGGACACAGTCATATCTGAGAACATGAAGCAGTTAGACCAGATAGAAAATTCACTATTAGAAGATCTAAACACCCAAGACATGACCATGGATGATTACATCACTTATCTTAATAACCTTGTCAAAGAGCTCCACAGATGCCTGTCCTCTTCAGAACCCCAGGAATTAATGTCTGAAAAGAAACCAAAGATCCAATCCATACCAGAGACAACAAAACCAGTCACTCCAGAATTTACTGCTGGTCAATACAACAAAAGTGATGTCACCAAATTACTTGGTAAAATACAGGTCCCCACCACTAAAGCAGAGAAGAGAGAAATTAGGCCAATTAAAAGTGTCTACAATACAGCAATGAAACCTACACATAAACAGATGAAAGAAGACAGAAAGAAATCTGACAGGAAACAAACATTGTCGCTATCTGCCTCTGTCACCAAGGTCAGAGAGTTCAATATACCAGGTGTTAGGAATGTATACCATGTATCAAAAGATCAATCACACACACTCTGGATCAGTGACGGTTTGGGAAATCTTGTCCAATTGGATCTACAGGGAAATGTGATACATAAGATAAAAACCAGTGATGGACGTGGTTGCCACACAGTCACACAGGACGGGGATCTGATCTTTACAGACAAATACAACAGTGTCATTAATAGGATAACGCAAGATAATAATATCACTGAATTCATAAAAACTGGAGTCTGGAGACCACTCAGCATACACTCCTCCCACATCAACGGGGACTTACTGTTGGGGATGAAGAAGGATGACGAGGCTAAAGTCACCAGGTACAACAAGACAGGAAAAGAACTAAAGAAGATACAGAGGGATAACAAAGGATGGCAACTGTATAGTGTACCATACTACATAACAGAAAACATCAATGGAGATATCTGTACATCAGACCTTTATAATGAAGTAGTGGTGATGAATAAATCAGGACACGACAGGTTCTCCTACACAGGTCAGAAGTCAGGGTTCCGTCCCTATGGAATCTGTACTAATGTCCTCGGTCACATCCTGGTGTGTGATGGTTTCAGTGACACTGTTCACCTCCTAGATCAGGACGGTCAGTTCTTGTCTCTGTTAATCACAAAACAACAAGGGGTAAAGACTCCCCGAAGTGTGTGTGTGGATGATGAGAACAATCTCTATTTGGGACAAGGAGACACCAACACACTGACAGTGTACAAGTATCTACAGTGATTCTAATTCTAGCATAAACATATTGTAATGTATATTGTATCAAACTTTGAGGTATCAAGTTAATTGTGCATTAAGCTATCATTTTTATTACTTTATATCAGTTCATGACTTTAATCTTCACATAAAAATAAAATCGTATTGTGTAGAATCACATTTATTCATATAATCCGTGTGTTTTATTGACATGTTTAATAGTTGGAACTATATTTACTCTAAAATGTGTAATTGGGAATTTAAAAAAAGTGTCTTAATTAATTGGAGGAATTTATATTATCTCAATTAAAGCATTTTAAACTAAATTCAACAGTTCAATTTTTCATGACTGAGAGTATGTCATTACCTTGACCCAAGGTAAATCCTTCTGGCAAGTTCAAGGACAGATATAACAGTGTAAAATTCATGACAGGTGTATAATTTTCTAGTGGAGAAACATTTTATGTCCGTATTACACTGAAAAATTACCAATGACCTGCGGATGTGTCATTTTTCAACCGAGGTCTTTTTGGCAAGTCCAAGGTCACATTAGCAAATCTGGATTGGCGCCTTTAAAAAATGCGGCAGGCAGGCATGGGTTGATCTCCGTATTTAATAGTTTTTGATTGTTGCAGAAATTATTTAATATTTTATTATTTATCACAAGTATTTGAAAATTCCGCATGCTGGTAGTATGCATATGTATACACGATCCCTGTGTTTTAATTACTTCGAAAATATAAAATGAATAAATTAGAGCTCGTAGTAATGAATATGTAAACTCAATGTACCTTCAAATTTTACTAATAGTATAATTTCTTCTGCGTTGAAATATTTGTTTTGAGAGCTAGCTATCAATTGTTTTATAAGATATTTGTCAAAAGTGCATGGAGTTAATAATTATAAAGGTTTGTTCCCACCTCGCCTTAACTGTAAAATTTAGCATTCCCTTTTCGCCTTTGTATAATAGTACTTGTAAGCTCTAAGTTGATTAAGGTGTTGAAGATTTAAAATATTTAGCATAAAGTATTTGTTGGTATTACATGTATTATTTCATTCACTGTATTCATAAATTCCCACAATCTGAAAATTTTTATCATTTAAATTTTTATATCAACCAAGTAATAATATTTACAAATACTAAAATTCCCATTTCGCCTTAGTACTTTTTAACTTTTTCTTACCAGTTAAGGCGAAATGGAAGCACAGTATTATAAAATACTATGAAGTTCACAGTTCACACCTCATTATCTGCAATCAGGGGTATCCCAGCCAAGATAAACAGTGACACTTAATACCCCCATCTTTTTAAATACAGACACTTATTGACAAAGCAAGTAAATTTTAATGAAAACAAGGAAATAATTTTGCAATTTTTTTTCTTCATGTTTTTCTAATAGGTCCTAGCTAGTACAACGTAGATTATATTTCAGATAATTTTTATTTATATAAAAGCACTCAAATCTATTTTTGCTTTATATTATTTTCTGTTATCAAACAAAGTTTATCAACATTTAAAATATGAAAAAGACTAGACCACTATGATTATAATGCAAATGTTATTGTGAACATTATTCAAGTTATGATTATAAAAGTAAGGAAATCAACACATATCACTGATTGGTTTATATATAATATTTATATGTGATTGACTGAAAATGATTCTACAAAATAACATTCATGTATGAAGTATGTGTATATGTATAAAGTAATTGAATATTATCAAAAAAGTAATTATAATTACATTGGAAATTTTAGCTGTAATTGATTCAATTACGATTACAAGTGATCGAAAATCTCTTCGATTACAGATTATTGTCGAATTCTTGAAAAAAATAATCATTACTATCGATTACGATTACCTCATGCCTGGCGACAGGGATATTTATTTGTAAATAACTTGTTCACAGTACCTCTAGTCATCTCCATTCTTTTCAATCGTATACAAAAGCATTGGTGACAAATCTGAAAAGGCTTTACACAGTTGTAGCATTTATAAGTATGTAACCAAATGAAAAGTACAATTATATATGTATTCCAGAGATGTTGGAGAGCACGTTTTAGTAGACCCCAAGACCGCCTCTTTTTTTCTAAGTACAGTCTTATGCCGTAGTTTTAAAATGGAAATTTTCATTAAGAGTCTGGTTATAATTATTTGAAAAAAAAAACATTTTCATTCAAGAAAAAACAAGTCTCAATAAGGCATTAACTGTGGTTCCCGGTTTCTCGTCAAATTTTCAACTTTTAGTAAAAAAACTCGAAAGTTAAATTATATTATTCTCTCATGTCTGTAGTATTTGCGTCAACGTTTGAAAATGTCAAATAATTGCAATAGACAGTGACACTGATAAATAAATGGTCAACTAAATAGAACAAATTATACAATCGATAGATACAGGAACGGACATTGTCTTTGTCAACACTATACACTAGGCAACTTCTTCTGTGGGGTACAACCTTTAGGGAATCTAATTCTCCACAGAGAAGTGAAAAAACTAAACTTCATTTGACTGAGAACTAAACTCAATAATAAGAAAATAAAAATATGTTAAAACTTTCATATTTCTGATTTATTTCAATTAAGATACATTCGATGAAAATCGATTACAGATTTGCGTGATATTTAAATTTGGCCCAAAGAAGTGTGTTGAAGTTTCACTGAAACAAATGATAATGTAAAATATAACCAATTCCTTGATAGTAATATTTTTAGACTGAGAACATTAATTAAAAAGAAAATTAGTATTATTTGGATATTTTGCTTCTACACATGTGCTTTAAAATTAAATAATATACATGTAACAAAGTCAAGTACATTGTATATTAACAAGGTACAAAGACACAGCACAACTTCCTGGCAAATTCTAGGAAACTTTAAAGATTTAAGTCAGTACAAAATATTGTCATCATAAAGACAATATCGATAAGTTATGTAAGTGTTGAATCCCCCTTTTCTTTTACACATGATATATAAAATAAAATGTGAAAATAACAAATCACTGGGTAAGGGGGATAACTCTTGGCAATAGTTCAGAATTACACTCAATTTTTAGTTTACTAAATCATAATTCTTGAATCAAGTACTGGTATTGATACACCTTACACAAGGAATACTTCTATGTATTTGATATGCTTTTATACACATAATAATTTTGATTTAATTTTAAAAAAATTAAAATGGCCAAGAGCAGACTTTACAAACTTTATTTTCTTTCATATGCCATTTAAAGCTAAATTCAAATTTTAAGATTTTATCAGTTTACATTCTTAATAATTCTTCAAATCAACTTCTTCACTAGTTGTTCACTTAATATGTATTTTTAAAAAGTATAGCACTTTATCCCCAATATTAATAAATAAATTACTTCACACTAATATTTGTACATATCACAACTACATAATAATAATAATAATAATACAGGTAATAATTAAAAATACGAAATTTTGTTTTATCCATGTAACTTCTCTTTAATATTTTTTTTCTGGGCAACAAATTTTGTCTGACATGTTTGAAATCAGAAAATCTTAATTTGATCAAATTTGGAAAAAAATTCAAGTTTGTGCAAGTATAACAGTGAAATCACCTGAATGAAACACAATTGTAAAGGAACATCACACACGTATTATAATAAAAATCAAACTACAAAAAAAAAAAAATGGAAATAAGGATTATAGAATGTAGAATTGTTTAATAAACATTTTCTCTATCAATAAATTCAACAAATCTTTCGCTTGACAAATCTAAGTAATGTACAGTTTAACTCATTCTATAGGAAATGTTCACAAGTTACAAATGAAAATGAAAACAGAATGTGTAAATGTACACGCATATTTCCGAGTCAGAATAATTCTAAGAGCATCCTTATGTATTCATATTATTTAAAATCCCAATCTTCAGATAAATTATACAAATTATGATTAATATAATACGAGAACCCAATCCTTTTTAACAAAAGGCCCACGGGCTTTATAAGTCACCTGAGTATATACCTTGTAACAACTTTCCAACAATTGAATTTGGTTCGTGAAATTCACAATTTTGAAAGAGGCGCTTATTATAATTATAAACGTAGCATGCTTACTCTTTTAACTTAATAACCAAAGGTAGATAAGAGTAACAAAGAGAAAATGTACTTTCACTTCATAACCAGTTGTGCAACCCTACCCAAAAGGAACAACTGATCCTGAGGCCACATATTTCAAAATGATGGAAATTTTTCATAAATTCTATTTCAGCATAAATGGTTGATTAATACCAAAAAGCAGATTTAAAAGCATAAATTTATTTTCAGACTATGCAACCCCTACTCCACCCCGAATCTCTTGAGCCAGGAGGAATGAAATTAACCATTTTCTAGATGCACTTTTCTTCATCATAAAATATATACTTGGACCACTGGCATAATACCAAGGAGCAAAGGAAAAGGTGTTCAAAGAATTAATGTATTTTCACTATTTAATCTTGCCCGCCCCCCCCCCCCCCCCTTACACCAAATGGCAAAACCTCTGACACAGGGGCCATGAAATTCACAAATTTGGTTCATGCACACTTGCTCATCATAACTATTTACTTAATTAGTTTATTTAATACCCATGATCAGAGAAGAAGATTTACAAAAATTAATGCAGTTTCACTATATAATCAATAGAGTCCAGCCTTAACACCAGAAGCCCTGACCCTGGGGCCATAAAATTCATAATTTTGGAAGAGGCACTCTTGATCATCATAACTGTGCACTTTAAGTTAATTCATTTAATACGCATAAGCAGAGAAGAAGATTTTCAAAGAATTAAGGCAGTTTCACACACTATATAATTAATAGAGCCCCGTCCTAACACCAGAACCCCTGACTCTAGGGCCATAAAATTCACAATTTTGGAAAAGGCACTCTTGCTCGTCATAACTATATACTTAGTTTATATAATACCCAGGAGCAGAGAAGAAGATTTTCAAAGAAATATTGTATTGTCACTACATAATCTATATAGCCCACCCCCCTAGCACCAGAACCCCTGACCCTGGAGTCATGAGTTTCACAATTTTGGTAGAGGACTTGGTGATTAAATTCATGCCAACAGTTTGCCTGCTTGATGTTCAGGAGTAAAGAAGAGTATTTTTAAAGATTTCATTAATTTTAGTGGTCAGACCCCACGGAGCAGGGGCAATAAAAATTCACAATTTATGTTTCCCTTCATCCATAGATGCTTTATACCAAATTTGGTAGAAATTGGTTCAGCGGTTTTAGAGAAGAAGCTGAAAATGTTCAAATGTTATCACACAATGCACGACGGGGACGACGACGGACGAAAGCAGATAGCAATAGGTCACCTGAGTGACTTAGATGACCTAAAAAGTGCAATTTCATAACTAAGACACATTCTGATTTTGGTGGGTGGTGTGGATATGTGGGGTAGGAGTTATTCTCAGGCTAGTTTACTGTCAAAACTACTCAGTGCTATTCCAAAAGCTTGAAGAGCACAGAGAGGGTAATTAAAATCCATGGTAAACACGTTTTTCGCCACTCGACCAAATTGCATCACAATGTATTTAACTGAAAGAAAAAAAAAGAATAAAAAAATCAGATTTAGTAGAAATATTCGAGTTAGAATAAATAGTGTTTTTTTCTATAAAATAAATAACTTCTTCAAAAACATAACATTCTATTAAAAATTAATCTGCGACACTTCGATAATCATTGATGAAATGAAAATATCATAATGAAATTCCTTTAAAATATTCATCGGATTTACATGTATTTGAACTCTCGCCTTCACAGTGCATGTATTCATGTCATTTAAAAAAGAAAAAAAAACCAATGATGACATTGACAAATAATTCCTCCTGATACCTAGTCAATATTGCTGATTGAAAAAAAATTGAGTAAATTTACTGGCTTAAGCTGACTGTTCTTACCGTCATTGTCATGCACAATTCGGAAATTCTTCACAGAACCCTGGGTGACTCGTCCATGGAAATTTAGCACATGTGATTGAATCTCTACAACAAAAAAGACACAAAAAATGTTTACATAGTTGTTACTCCAGTAATATGACTGCTTTTATTAAGTCTCTTGAGTTTACTCAAGTGACATATTGCTCTCTGTTTTCTTCTGTCGTCGTGTGTCGTGCAATGAGCGTTGAAAATTTGAAACCACATAACCAAAATTAGCATGTAGCAACTAGGATTAAAAGGGAGCAAATTCGTGATATTGTGTCATGGTTCCTGTGCCTCTTATTCCTAAGGGAAGGATAAACGCCACTAAATTTTTTTTTTATAAATTATGGACATAATAAATATCAACTGCTTCTTGGTTTTGAAGGAAGTAAACGAAATGCATACTTATAATTAAAAAAACGTGCCTCTTTCAAAATTGTAAATTTCATGGCACTTGGGGTAGGGGCTCTTGTGTAAGAGTGGAGATCTAATATTTTTATGATTAAAATGCATTTATTCTTTGAAAATATTCTCCTCTGCTTCTTCCAAAATTGTCAAAAATGTGACTCCGGGATCAGAGTTCCTGAGTTAGGGCGGGACTCCTCTGATAATGTAGTAAAAATGCATTCATTATTTGAAAATCGTTTCCTCTGCTCCAGGGTAAAAAAAAACTGATAATCTTTGTATATGATTTTAATTTTACAAAATTGTAAAAGATATACGCCTTGACTAAGGGGTTTCTTGGGATGAGGGGCTTAAATATTCTTTACTTAAAATGAATTATTGGTTCGTGAATCTTCTACTCTGCCCCTTGGTCTTAAGCAAACAAACTAAATACAAAGTTACAAAAGTAAGGGGCGCTTCTTTTAAATTGAGATATTCATGGCCCTGGTTTTGCATTTTGGTGGGGCTCTATTGATCATATAGCCATTAGCATTTTGCATATCTTCTACTCTACCCTTGAGTTTTAAGGTACACTAGTTGTGTATGTGACAAAAAAGTGAAAAAAGGGTTAATTTTCATGAAATTTTGAGATTTGTAGTACAATTAATAACGGTGTGTTGAATATGTGTATTACAATATTAAGAGACTTTCATTCTGACGACATACCATCGTTCCAGACTGGGGTCCTGTTATGAAGTTCCACTATATTCTCCATATTTTCCCGTTTGTATCTGTTAATCAAGCCATCAGAGTCCTGCAAAACAAAAAGCAATATTTATCCTTGTCGGAATCTCATTTGTAATATAACGCTTAGTCTGATAGGTCAATAAATTTTAAAACAAGTATTATCTATGGCCTGAATAATCCCAAGAGTTTGATTGTGAATGTCTGTTGAGCATGCCCGTCATGGTAGCTGAGTTGATAGAGAGCTCGCTCCATGTTCAATAGTCGTGAGTTCGAATCTCAGTCCTTCGGATGAGACCGTATAAACCGAGGCCCCTTGTCACAACAGGTGTGGCACGATAAAGATCCCTCCCTGCTCAAAGGCCGTAAGTGCTGAGCATAGGCCTAAATTTGCAGCCCTTCACCGGCAATGGTGATGTCTCCATATCAGTGAAATATTCTGGAGAGGAACTTTAAACAGTATACAATCAATCAATCAATCGAATCTCGGCCACGACTGATATAAGTCGATAAAAAATGGGTAGCAACTGTTTCTTCACAATGCGCTCAGCACCTCGAAGTGAAAGTTGCGGGTACTTCGCATAAGACCTTAAAAACTGAGACCTCGTGTCACGGTAGACTTTTTCAAAAGGTAAAACTCTTCAGCGGTTTCTATATGATTGAAATTTTCTCGAATGGAACGTTAAATTTTCTCGAATGGAACGTTTAACAATATACAATCAATCAATCTGCTATGTTTCACATTTAATTAACTAGCATTCAAGAATGAAATTATCGAATACCAACAAGAGTTAATTAAAACACTTTATCAATACCGATAAGAGAAGCTAAATTAAAATTTTTAATTTCCTTTTTATGCAGTTTTCATTTCTACCTCCCCCTTTGTTTCTATAACGTGTAGTATATTTGATAAAAATTGTTTTAAATCCAAAGAGAATGTTTTAGGGATATTTTTAGAAAAGAATTGGTGGCTCATCTAGAATGTGTTTCGACTTTTATCCACTATGCAACTCAGAATTTGTGTACAAGCGCATAAATTAAACATTCTGAGAGTATTGCATGAGCAATTTTAGACCCCTACTTGCAAATGTATTTTGGTTCCCAACATAAGTAAGAATGTCGTATTCCTTCAAAAATCAATGAAGTTAAATAAAATAAATTTGATCTTTAACTCCTCAAGGAACAATCATATACGGTAAAAACAGAAATCAGTTCAATATTTCCAATCGATAAAAAAGTGTGGAAACCTAAGTTGGACTGACAGACTACATAGACAGAAAAAACAAACAGACAGAGGGATGAAGAGGAAACTTAAAGTTTCCTCTGGTTGTAACAGTATGGAACTGAAACTTTGACAAAATATAGACTTAACTTTTTTTGATTCACACTAAGTAAGCGTTTTGTTTTCTAGAGACTTACAGATCTTGGCTTGATGTCTACGCGTTCATGGTCTGAATTCATTCCTGGAATAATAATGGTCATTTTTCTGGGTCCCATAAAAGCTAAGACACTCGTTTCCTGCAAAACAATGAGTTATACATTTCTGTTTATTACATTTTTTTTTATTTTTCCTTTGCCACTGTCTTTTTGAGCACAGTGTCATAGGCTGTGACGACATAGTTTCTCCCGAACCTATCAATCATAACAAGCCACAGTTTCTTTTGAAGGAAAGGAAAATCTCGAGTTTTGTTACTCTTCTGATATTCTCTAACACCATGCAAATACAATTTTCATATCCTTTAACACTGTGTTGGAATATCATTTTTATTTAATGAATAAAACAAAGTCAGTATTTCATAGTTGAAAAGTCAAAAATACGAATGTGGAAGCCAGCAGTCATGTTTATATTGTATTTTCACTTTTATTCTTATATAAGGCTGTGGCATATATAAAAAAGTATTTATCATATGATTAGTAGTAAATATACCCATTCTGCACGGTGCGATACGGGTGACGTCACATTACCATATATCAAGAACCGGTTCGAAAATCGATATCACGTATCGAACTCACATATTAAGTATTTTGAATATATGATAAATATAATACTGCATACTAAAATCCATGTCATATGTTATATCAACCCTGGGGCTACATATCAATTCTTGGGCCTTCGACCTTTGGGCTGATATGGGGACACTCGGGCCAGTCTATATTCTCTATATACTTACGTAAATAATTCCAACTAATTCTTTTCTAGCGTTTTCATAATTGCTTTTTGGGTTGTCGCCGTTGTCAAACAAAGTGAACTGGGTACCTAATAAGTTGGCCCTACAAAGTACAAAAAGGAATATAAATTCCTGGAAAAGCATGTACATCAGGAACAAGCATAGTGAAGGATTACAAATTTATACACATCTTGTTTTCTTGTGTCTATGTAAGAAATTTATGCAGAGACATATCAGGAATATTATGCTACAATATATTTTGAAGAGGGGTAAATCAGATGTGTCTACTTAAACATTCTTGATCTCTTGGAAAAATTGAGATTAATTTTTTTTAAGAAAAAAAACCAACATGAAAACTTACGACTTTTCAACTTTACATGCAACCGTTACCCATGATAAATAAATACTGCAGAACTGTAGCTTTCCAAAAACAAGAGGCCCAGGGGCCACAGCGCTCACCTGAGCACATTGGCTAGGAAAAAGCACATATTCAGAACTGAAAGTTAACTGATGTTGGCGGGGGAAGGGGGGGGGCTTGAACTTTAACCCCCCAGGGGTTCATGATTTGAACAAACTAGAATCTACACTACCTGAAGATGATTCCATATTTGTATCACTAATCATAGCTTTGAAGTACTTGAAAAGAAGATTTCAGTTTCCCTAAAAATCCCTATGTAAAACTTGGGTCAGCCTTTTTGGCTCCACCCTAGCCGCGGGGGTCATGATTTGAACAAACTAGAATCTACACCATCTGAGGATGATTCCACATGAGTTTCATCTTTCCTGGCCCAGTGGTTCTTGAGAAGAAGATTTTTAAAGATTTTTCCTATATATTCCTATGTAAAACTTGGGTCGCCCATTTTGGCCCCACCCTAGCCCCGGGGGTCATTATTTGAACAAACTTGAATCTACACAACCTGAGGATGATTCCACATGAGTTTCATCTTTCCTGGCCCAGTGGTTCTTGAGAAGAAGATTTTTAAAGATTTTTCCTATATATTCCTATGTAAAACTTGGGTTGCCCATTTTGGCCCCACCCTAGCCCTGGGGGGCATGATTTGAACAAACTAGAATCTACACCATCTGAGGATGATTCCACATGAGTTTCATCTTTCCTGGCCCAGTGGTTCTTGAGAAGAAGATTTTTAAAGATTTTTCCTATATATTCCTATGTAAAACTTGGGTCGCCCATTTTGGCCCCACCCTAGCCCCGGGGGTCATTATTTGAACAAACTTGAATCTACACAACCTGAGGATGATTCCACATGAGTTTCATCTTTCCTGGCCCAGTGGTTCTTGAGAAGAAGATTTTTAAAGATTTTCCTATATATTCCTATGTTAAACTTGGGTCGGCCATTTTGGCCCCACCCTAGCCCCGGGGGTCATGATTTGAACAAACTTGAATCTACACTATCTGAGGATGATTCCACATGAGTTTCATCTTTCCTGGGCCAGTGGTTCTTGAGAAGAAGATTTTTTAAAAATGCCATTAATTTTTCTCTAATTCATAATTATCTCCCCTTTGAAAAGGGCGTGGCCCTTCATTTGAACAAACTTGAATCCCCTTTACCCAAGGATGCTTTGTGGCAAGTTTGGTTGAAATTGGCCCAGTGGTTCTTGAGAAGAAGTCGAAAATGTGAAAAGTTTACAACAACAACGACGACGACAACGACAACGACGACAGACAACGGACAAATTGTGATCAGAAAAGCTCACTTGAGCCTTTGGCTCAGGTGAGCTAAAAAAAAATCAGACCAGAGAGCTGCAGTGCCACACATTGAAAAAATCAATGTATTCATTGGTCACAAAAAAAGATATTTCTTAATTCATTTCTCCATGTTATAAACTGTCATATCAAAATATTACATACTGTGTGTTACTAACATATTCCTTCACTGTTTTCAAAACAAAACATTCCCTATAATTGTTGTTAATGGCCCTCTTTGCCCTGAAATTGAAATCATCGGAGATTTTGTCTTTTTATACTGCCATTTTGGATTCATGATGGTTCAGTCCAACACTCGTACTGCAGATGTCGACTTTGAGAGTACTTGATAAAGGAATAAGGAATTTTTTTGAAATCTATATTTATTTTTTTTTGCCTTTGATGTAAGAATTTGGAATAATTGATCTAGAATTAGGCGCAACTTTTTGTGCCCAATAGATACTAGTATACAGTTTTACAAAGGGTGGAACTGTAGCTTTCCGGTTTCTCATTATATTTTGTCTGTGAGTTACAGTTCTGCAGCTAGATAAATTTAAGCCCTGTCATTCTGCTTTTCAAATTATAAATGAAACTCGTAAATTTACTTACATTGTAATTGGTCCTTGTTTAAAAGCAATCTGATTGTACACACAAGTACTCTGAAGTTGATATTAAAAAGATGCTTGAGTTTCTAATTGACAATATCTTTGTGTTTTTCAACAATCTATTTGATTTCTTATGGGAACTAATCGCGTACCGTTATCAAAAAACCTATTTTTGTATTCATATGAAGCACAATTAATTCAAAATCTAATGGTCACAATAAAGCCTTATGATAAACGCAATGATTTTAACTTTATAATCGTCAACTTCCCTACATTATGCAGCAATAAACCACTATCACTGGTATAAGGGTGTATATTTCTTAGATGCCTCGAGGAGTAAGATAGATACTCTAAGTATGAACAATTTCTAAAATGAGATTATTTATTGACAAGCAATTGATGAAAAAGGAATATCTGGAATCTCGTATAAAGTCATCCTTTTGTAAGTTCTATGGTCGATACAATGATTTTGTAAACAAAATTTTAATACAAATGATCGTTAACTCATATCTGAGTGGTGTTTCCCTAATTAAAAAAGGGGCTTGGAGGTCCGTGTTTGCTCTGCTCCTGATTTGTATTGTGTGATGGACTTTTGGGCTTAGTTAGTGTTTGTTATTTCTAAAATTTCCTATATGTGAAACCGATTACTACTGTACAGTTCGACAAATTCTTATGACACTTTACATAAAAAAAGAATCTATTAAATTTTTGAAAGACAAAAATGTTCTCAAACAGGACATTTTCACAGGAATATAATTAAGCAAAAAATAAGTTCCTGCAGATAAAAAGTGTTTTTTTTTTTTTTTATTTATACAAAATTTTATTCACATAAGTGAATGGGATTGGGCAGCAGGCAAAGCCTATTTTAGCCCTCTCCCTACAAGGTCAAAATGAACACACAATATATAGATATAAAAATAAATAGACAAACATAGTAACAAAAACAAAAGAACAAAAACAAAAGAGAAAAAAAAAAAAAAATAGAAAGAGAGAAAAAAAATTTACAATGAAATACATGTACCGGTTATAAAGTGTTTGCATGAGTAACATACATTACAATTCAAATAAAACGTTTGGTTGCTGCAATGAAAGCATGTACTGCTTCAAATATTTGAGTATTAATATTTAGTCCATGATTGGGACTACCATACAAAAGTAAATCAAGTTCTTGAGTTTGATCACAATCAATAATATTTTGAATTGTTTGGAAAAGTACATTTCTTGGGGAGTTATATTTTGGACAAGCAAAAAAATAATGATGAGCATCTTCAATAGAGTCAATACAGTATTCACACATTGGTGTTTCTGATAAAAATTGGTTATATAAGTCTGCCTTTAAATTACTTGCATTATTTCGCAATTGACAATGTATTATATTGTACTTTCTTATTCCAAAATGATAAATTTCTTTACTTTTTTTACAATAATAAGAATTTAAAAGACTTTTAAATGAAGATATTCCAGGGGCATTTCTGATATAATCAGGCAAATCATTCCATAATTTGATAGTTGATGGGAAGAAACTTTCCATATATGATGTAGTTCTAATAGAAGGAATTTTGAATTCTGCATCATTATTTCTTAGATTATAGGGGTGGTTTGTAGGACGAAAAGGTTCAATCAAGTCCGTTAAATATTTAGGTGAATAGCCATTTATGATTTTATATAATAGTAGCAATTTATGAATATTCCTCCTAGTTTGTAAAAGATCCCACCCTAATTCATCATACAATTTTGATCTAGAGGAATTTGATCTTAATCCAGTAATAATTCTACCTGCTTCAACTTGGATATCTTCTAAAAGTTTTGCATCTCTTTCATTACAATTGTCCCAAACAACATCAGAATATTCTAAAACAGGTCTAATAAATGCAAAATATATCTTAATAAGTGTTTTTCTTTTCATCTTATACTTAAGCATTCTGAGGATATTTAGTCTTTTTGTAGCTTTTTCATGAATTAATTGTATATGCGATGTCCAGGTAGCATCACTTTGAAAATGTAATCCTAGGTGGGTATGAGATGCATTTTGAATAATGGATGGGCCATGATGACCAAATGTAATAGGCGGATATTTTATATTTTTGCGGGTAAAATCAACATTTACAGTTTTGTTTGGATTAAAGTCAACAAGCCATTTTTTTGACCATTTATCAATTAGGTCTAAATCACTAGTAAGTGACTGTGCTACATTTGTGGCTTCTTTTTCTACAATAGCATATAAAGAGGTATCATCAGCAAAAAGACGTATATTGTTAGCTAAATCATCACAAATATCATTTATGTATAGGAGAAAGAGAAAAGGTCCCAAAACAGAACCCTGGGGAACACCAGCATTTACTGTCTCATGGTTTGATGAAAAGCCATCAATTACAACTTTTTGTTGTCTATCACACAAATAATTCTCAATCCAGCCTAATATGTTGCCATTAATACCATATTTTTTTAGTTTAGATAAGAGACCTTTATGCCAAACTTTATCAAATGCTTTTGAGATATCACAAAAAATAAATCTTACATCTTTACCTTTATCAAGACTTGAAATTATAGTGTTGTATATTTCTACTAGTTGGTTCACAGTTGAGTCTCCAGGTTGAAACCCTGACTGATATTTGTAAATTACATTATTATCTTTCATAAAATTATGCAATTGTTTAAACAAAATTTTTTCCATTATTTTACATAAGACACTTGCAGGGACGTAGCATCCGGGGGGGCCAGGGGGGGCCTGGCCCCCCCACTTTTTTCCCCAACGTAACCTTTACTATAGTAAATGTTCATTGATAGGGTGGTTGGCCCCCCCCCCCCCACTTTATAACCATAGTATAGTGATATCAAGGATTGTAGGGAAAAAATTGGAAGTGATAGTAAGTTGGCTCTGAAAAAGTTGGCCACTATCCCCCCCCCCCCCCCCCCCCCCCCCCCCCCCACGAAATAGGATTTCCGAGTTTGGACAACTTTTAATTTTCCTTTTTTTTTTTTTTTTGCTTGTCAACTTTTTCAGGTAAGTAAAAAAAAAAATTTTCTCAGGTTGGCCCCCCCACTTTCAAAAACGATGCTACGTGCCTGACTTGTAAGGGATATTGGTCTATAATTTGATACTTCTTGAGCACTACCTTTATTTTTAAAAACAGGTGTAATCTGTGATAGTTTCCAAATATCTGGCAACTTTTTTTCAATTAGTGATCTATTAAAGAGTTTTGTTAGAGGGGTTTTAATTGTGCTAGCTATTTCTTTCAAAATTCTTGGGGAAATACCATCAGGACCGGGTGGTTTACTACTGTCAATGATACATAATTGATCATAAACTTCATTTTCAGTGATAAAAATTTCAGATAAAGTGTCTGTATTTTGTAATGGTGGACCAGGACCATGAAGGGGAATGTCTGGTTCATGTGTAATAGATGAAACTTGTGCAAAGTATTTATTAAGGACTGTAGCTTTCTCAACTGGATGGAAGATAAGTTTACCTTTAGATTTAAGTGGTGGTATTGGTTCATAATTTTTGTTTAGTTTTGATATTGACTTGACTATTCTCCACCATTTTCCAGGGGGGATTGATTTATCAATCATTGAGGATATTTTCTTGTTATAATTTTCACGAGATTTTCGAATTTCATCAATAACTGTATTTCTGAGTTCTCTGTATGTCTGCCAATGCAGTGGATTGTCTGTATGCTTTGCTTTATGGTGTGTCCTGTTTCGTTTCCTCATTAATTTCCGTATGGTATTATTCATAAATACTTTATCTCTAGGTCTGATGGTAATGGTTTTCTTAGGAATATGTTTATCAATACAATTGTTTAATGAAGAGACAAAATTAGAATATGTTTCATTGATATTTTTTGAATCATATAAAATAGAGTTCCATTCACATTGTCTTAATTCCTCATTAAGTGCAGTATAATTTACATTTTCGTAATTCCTTACTACCCTTTTGTAAGCATATTGTTTGTGGATTGTGAATTTAAGTTCAACACTAATAACACAATGAGAGCTGCAAAAAGGTGCTGCTATGTCATGATTTTGAATCAGACAAGTACAGTAAAATTTGTCTAATCCGGACTCTGAGTACTCCGGACTTTTGTCCATTCCGTCCGTAAATTTTAGTCCCATGCACTTCTTTAATAAATTCATTTTAAAAAATTCTGTGTAGTCCGGATTCTGTCTATTCTGTATTCCGAACGGCCATACTGGTCCCAACTGCTCATAATTAATGTTAATTATTCCCTCTAATCCGGCCACACCTGAGTTACTTCAAAGAAATTAACACCTTTCGTGGGGAATGTGATAATCCGTGTTTATACATTAGCATGATTATTAGTGCCATGAGACGAACTCGGTGAAATGCGGCGGTGACACAGTCCACTTGAAAAATATATTATATTAAATTACAGTTTAAAAAAGTAACTTTGTTTTAACTCCTTTTACCACATTATAACATAAACACAAAAATATATGTATGCGATTTACAAATCAAAATATAAATCGGGATCGAAAATCGAACGCATTTCAAAATGGCGCCATAACACTGTGGGGGGGTGGATGCTAGTTCAGATCACTCACAGGGAGGTCGCTCTTCGGAACACCTCTAAATAATTACATCGGGTTCGGGCAACAAATAATTCCAGCTTTACTTTGGAGGGTTTCTGTCAATTATGAATTCAGTCAACATTTTGAAAGCATGCTTGAACAGGGTATGAATCGTCATATATGATATGTTGATATGTGAATGTTTAATTGATTTATGTGACCCTTGGTTGCGAAAATAATTATTTATCATCTGCATGTACATCATGCACACATGCAGTATCAAATTACAATAGCGGAATGGCTGAAGCTTCGCCTCACGTTGTTGTCACATCTCTTGATGACGCTGAAAAAAGAATAACGGATTTTGAAGTTGAGACAGTAACAACTTTTACTATATTTCGTCGGAATAAGGGATTCAGAGAAGACATAAACGGCAAGTCTCTTTTGATATTCAGTATGTTTTATTGTAAAGAAAATGTTTACTGTATATGTAACAGTGTAATATTGTGTTAAAAAGAGTGTTAAAAAATTATTCAAACAAATTATTGGAGTATAATTATTATTAAGAAAATAATTTTAATTAAGAAAATACCATTCATTGCATATTATTTTACTAACAGGCTTAGCTGAACACAAAGTAAAATGGGAAGATGTTAGTCGTGGGGAAGGACCAAAGATTCAGTACAATGGAACCCCTTTCATAATATTAGGATGGGATGTACGAGAGTGTCAGTTTGGTCCAGACCGAAATGTGAAGCAAAAGCAGAAGTATCAGTTGGAAAAGGTGTCTTAAATTCTATACACAAAATATAGAGTTGGGTATCAACTGATTTTTTTTCAATGCTATAATTTTAACTTTATTGAAGCTAAAGTTTATGAAATAAATGTATACATTACAATAGTTCAAGTACTATAAGATAAATATTTAGATATTCAGTCCTCTTAATGATTATGCATTATTTGACAAAGCCTTTCCAATGATAGAATGGGAATAGAATTTCATTATATCTACCATATCTATAAAAAAAAGAAATATGGTATTGTATAGAAACATTTTTTTTCTGTTTGGTACACAGGCATACATAGATATAGCCAGTTTAATTTCTGTGTATTCCCAAAGTGTACTATCATGATTATCAGCTATTAATATTAATGTCTTCATAAGAAAATGGTTTATATGAAACTGTATAACTTGGGGAATTTTTTTATTTCTAGACTTTGGAAGGAAAAAAAGACCATTCCTACACACAAAAAGGCAGGACGTTGCTGCAAAACACCAAGAAGCAGGATTGTCCTGCGAGAATTCATTCCAAAAGAATTTGTATTTTTCCAGAATATAAGGTAATATATAAATAAGGAACTGCTTCTGTTTTCTCGTATATACTGTTAGCATATGAAGCACCACTATTTGTGCTATAATGTAAAAGAATTTCAAGTTTTTTATGTTACAAAATTCAAACTACATTTAGAACCTAACCCTCTTTTTCTTGTAACTAGGCGGACGGACTAATAAGCCAATGAAAAGGCGCAATAGGTTCTAAGTAAGTTAGATCATATTAAGTAAAATTTTAGTGGATAAGAAGGGGTCTCGGTCACTTCGCTCCCTCCGTCCCTTGTTAACCACTAAAAATTTTATTTAATATGATCTAACTATTACTAACTCTCAGAAAATTTTTGGAAGATGAAAAGTAGAAAGGAGAACTGTAAAGCAATATGTAATTGGTTAGACTGGTAAATGAAATACTGTACAAATTAAGTGATTTCCTCCTTAAAAATTGGTACTTTATTTTTAGAAGTAATTATAGTGATTTTAAAATGCCTACTAGAAGATTTTTAAAGTAAAACACAATTAATTCACTGGTGAAGCGATATTCCATCTGAGTGATTTCAACGACCTTGTTAATAATGCAAACATTAAATCATCGCTAAAAATTCTGCTTATACAGTATAATATCATTCACTATATATAAAATGTGCCAAAACACATCATTTAATATTAACATTTGCAAATGTTTTCCCTTATATATCACTATTTGAACAAGGCGTTTTTACATCTCCATAAAACAAGTTCGTCATGTGACCAAAAATTGATTGATTGGTATAATCGATCTACGCAGTTTGATAGTGACGTCATAATCGATTGACATTATAATCACATTCAATTTATACCATTTAGTTTTGAAAAAAAACATGATGGGTTTCAAACTTTAGTTAAATACATTACTATTTACATCATAGGTGTATACACTGTTACAAAACCTTTCAGTGGTAACCCTGACTTTAGATTTTCACCCACTTTTAAAAGAGACTTTACCTTGGCCATAACTTGTGAACAGTTCATGCTAGGGTTTTTATATTTCAGAGGTGTATTCCTTGCTAAAGGACCTTCTTTTGTATACCAGCAATTTCGACCTTGGAGTTTTACTTGCATTTTAGATACTTCAACCCTTGTCATAAGCTGCCATATTAAGGGGGCATCTTTATCAGTGTGTCACAAACACATTTCATATAGAAATTACACAGATAATGATTAGCATAGAATATCGACAGTAATCATTTTTAATATTAGCATACTTTTGTACTTTGGTTACTTTTAAAAAAAGCAACTGTATGATTTTTTATTATCAGATCAATGGTCCAGACTCCATTTGGAAAAGAAAAGACCAGTCACAGAGACTTAAAGCAGCCCTTAAAGATAAGAAGAACAAAGTGGCATGGAAAGAGGAGATCCATATACTTTTTCCTTCCCATGATGATCATAGGAATCATGTTACTGGAGAAGTATTTAAAATAATTGACATATAAAAATTTGTTTTTGTGATATATTTTGAATATATATTTTGACCTCTTTAAAGTATATTGGTGTCATTATAGTTATTTCATCTTAAAAATGTGTTTTTCCTATTCTTTAGCTTGCAGGGTTTTGTCAGCCTGTCGACAAAGTAATAAAGAAAAAAATCCAATGTCTAATGGATGAAGGCGTCACCAAAGTAGCCGAAATGAAGCGTCATCTGAAGAGTTTTAGTAAAAAAGATCTTGGAAAGACATCCACACAGAATAGACGCTTCTATCCATTAGATAAAGACATCAGAAATGTTATGGACTCATATAAAAACCAAACAAGGTTAGGTTATATATTATAGCCAGACATTTATAAAATTCACTAAATTGTACATGTACATGTATTACTAGCACTAATGCTTCATTGATTTAAAAGAAGGAGATATGATGTGTACTTGTTTTTAAAACATTTTGATTCATTTCTATTTTAGATTTTCCAAGGATGATAAAGAAAATCTTGAGCAGTTGTTGGAGAAATATAAGTCCATGAATGAAAAAGACAGCTTCTTTCTTGATATCTCTGAGTATGTAAATGGATTCTTTTTTCAATCACTATTAATTGAATTTTATTAGTAAAGTATATTGTGAATTTGCAAAGCAACTTAATAGCAAAAGTATACTTGACAGGCATCTGTCTGATTTTATGCGCCAAGGGCATATATTGTTTTTCTCCTGTCTGTTTGTCTGTCTGTCTGTTGTCAACTTTTACCTTCACCATAACTTTTGAACCATGAGTGATAAAGACTTCATATTTAGTTTGCATACTATGCTAATACTATCTTTTTCGAACTTTGTTGCCGACAGGTGCATAATGTTTCACAAACACATCTTGTTCATATTTATTTAAAGATGTAACATTTTAAATCACTACAACTCTCTCATCTTATGAAGAAGTCCACAAATATCACCAATATTTATACTGATAAACAGAAATGAACATCACGTGGTAAAAGAAATATACAACATAACAACTATTACATGTATAAAATGGATATGTCTAACTGTCCTTCTAGGTGTCATCAGAATTTTAAAGATAAATCTTTTTATTTTTGAATTAATACTGTTGTGAAAATTTATTACAGAACTGAAGATTTCCTCTTTGTTGGCCAGACAGAATGGCAAAAAAGATTACTCAATCTATATGGTCAAGAAATCTGTTTGTTGGATGCAACATACAAAACTACAAAATATGACCTACCAGCTTTCTTTGTATGTGTCAACACCAATGTTGGTTACACTATTGTTGGCTGCTTCATTACTGCAGATGAAACGAAGAAGTCAATAATGAGAGCACTGCATTTGCTAAAGGAATGGAATGTTGCATGGAGTCCAAAATATTTTATGACTGATTTCGATACATCTGAAATTAGTGCCATAGAGGAAACTTTCGAAGGTAAAAGAATGATTGTTTTGTTGATATTTTGCCTAAGTATTGCAAATAACATTTTCTTTCTGGTAAATGTGTTAAAAAAGATGCCTTCATATTCATATATTTGCAATTGCAAATACAATGTAGTATTAAGAAATATTAAATACTTGTAAGAAAAAAAGTAATGGGTCAAGAATTAAATCACAATGTTCAATATTTCATTTTTTTTTTTAACAAATTGTTTATTACAGCAGAGTACTGGTAAGTTGTTTAAATTGTAGTTGGAGTGTGTGGGCTTTTTTGTTGTGTGTGCTCTCATCCAACATCTTGAGACTGTATATGTTTATTTTCGTTTCACCAAATCACACCTCATCTAAGAGTGTTCATTGATGAAAAAAATCATTCTGTAATATCATCAAGATTAATATGCTTACTATCCGTCTTTAACCTGCAGATTTTATATTCACACGTACGTGACTCACCCAAAACTCATTTTTCATTATTTTCTGCAAACTTATCATCTTTCTCTCACATGTACACCTTTTGTTTTGTATATTTCAATTTTAAAACTGGTAAGTTTGGTGATGGAGTAAATATATTTAAAATGTACTGGTATTATAATAACAAGGTATGTGGTAAATGTAGCAATATAAAAGAATCTAATATTAATATAGGATAAAAAAGACAAAATTAGATATCTTTTCAATGTAATGTAAATATTAAATATATGTATCAATTTAAATATATGTGAATATTCTCACACCTTAATTAGTCAAACAAGTACCGGGTACTAGATGTAGCAATCTTGGTGGATTTTTTTAACGTCAAAAAGTAGAAAACCATCTAATGCTAGTGTAAAACAATCTATTAACTTCAATAATGATTATTGGTAATATAAAGAGGAAAAAACTCATATAAAGGTAAAGTATAGACAGTTTTACATGAATGTATATTATTAAACATGTTTGTTTTTTATAAAAATCAAAAATAAATGTATGTTCAATGAGATTTTTTAAATATCTTGTGCCAGATAAAAGAAGACAAATAGAGTTACATTTTTAGTCCTTATGGAATAATAACCATCTGAGGAGATCTCTTTTAAATAAACAGAAATATGGTTACGGCAAATACAGTAAAACTCGGTTATAACGAAGTCACAGGGACCTATGAAATTACTTCGCTATATCCGTAATTTGTTATAACCGTATAAGGAATTCATTAGATTTATAAAGCTGGGGATCCAAGATGACTTCGCTATATCCGTAAATTCGCTATATCCGTGTTCGTACTAAACGAGTTTTGCTGTATTCAACATGACAAAGTCTCTGATTTTATTTCATCATATTTTTTTTGTTTTCAGATTGCCATGTTTATCTTTGTGACTTCCATAGGGAACAAGCCTGGGACAGGTGGCTCAAGTCACATGTCAATGGTTGTGCAGAATACAAAGATGAGATACTTATGATGTAAATGGATCATAGTTACATATGTGTTTGGCAAATTTTAATTTTCTTTATTTTAAATTTATCTGATGCAATGATAATATAATGATTTTTCTTTGGTGGCATATTTTTAAAAATTAAACACATGAATATGAATTGAAAGTTTTGAATTATATACAAAATTTATCTGAACACTGGTGTCAACAGATACGAATATATACTAATTACTACTATGTCACCATTGAATTTGCCATGATTTTTTTTTTATTTTAGAACATTTATCTTTACATGTAGGTTCCGAGAAATAGCCAAATCCACAACAGAAGACCAATTACAACAGAACATGGACAATCTTCGTTGCAGCAAGATTTGGAAAAACAAATTGAAGCTTCAGCAATGGTTTGAGCGCATTTGGCTAGCCAATTACAAGGTAACGTACAGTATATTGTTTTTAAATGAATAAAATCTTGAAAAGATAATAGATTGCAGTTTTGAAATTGAATTTGTCATTTATATGTTGCATTTTTATTTTTATATTATAACAATTATAATTGTGTTTTATAGAGATGGGTCATCTTGTTTAGGAAAAGTTTGTTCAATGTCAGGGTGTCAACAACAAATGGACTTGAACGACAACACCTGAAACTGAAACAAGAATACCTGTCTCATACTAGCGACAAGTCATTGTCAAACCTTGTCAATGTCCTTTTTTCTCAAGTCTTCCCTGAAAGTTATACACGGTTTGTATACTGTTTGTTATCTCCATATCCTTCTTGTATCAGATATTTACATCTATCAGTAAGAATTTTTTTCATTAAAATATACTTGTACATTACATTGTAAAATGATTAAATTATTTGTTATTGTAGGTATATTCAGTACAATGCAAGAAGCTTAGATATGTGTAAATCATACATCACCAGCATTCCTAGTTTTTTGAAAAATAGACCAAGAATGTTGGTGGAACATTGTGTGAAAAGAATGCCTCCTCAAGTGCTGAAGATTCCAGAGGAAAACATCAGGGAGAGGTCAGCTGGAAACTTTCAGGTGAAGAGTGTGGATTCAGGAAATGTGTATGATATTGATCTGGAAATACCTTGTCCATCTTGCACATGTTATGACTGGCAGAAATATCATCTGCCATGCAAACACATGCTTGCAGTATTTCAGCAATATCCAAGCTGGGACTGGGACTTTTTACCATCTGAGTACCGTGATGCCCCACACTTTAACCTTGACTTAGAAATTTTGGAGTCCATTCAAAATTCTGAGTCAAAAAAACCATCTTATTCACAAGAAACATCTCCAGAAAGTCCAATTCTGACAGGTGAAGGATCCGGCAATAGCAAAGTTCCAGAAAGAAGAGAAAGCAAATTAACAGATGCCCCATCAAACACCAAAGACTGGCTTCAGTGCCGTGAGCTTATCAAACAAATTCAGGGCAGCATAATGAATGTTTGTGGACTCAATATTGGCAACGTTGTACAACAACTGCAACAAGTTGCCAATGTTTTAAAGGAAATTGAGCCACGAGATGATGATCTTCCTGTACTAATGCGACGAAAACAAAAGAAGATCAGAAGCATGGATGAAGTCCCACATAGTAAGAGTTTAATTTTACACAGTACTAAATAAATTCTAGTTAGTGCATACACTAGCTGTTTGAATATATTATCTGCATAATATTTACCACATAGTATGTAATGAAAAATAATCAATTACTAGTATTTTTTATGATAATTCATTATCATTCAGTAGAAAATGACATAAGCTGTATTGATTGGTATTATGAATTGTTTGTAATTGCTATTTTTCAGAGAAAAGAAAAGTTTCAAATTTGCCAAGGCCCAAAAAATCTAAACTAAGAAAGCGCAAAGGTATTACTTTAATAAATAATATAGTTACATTAAATATTTATAAAACAATATATGATTATAATATTAATGTATTAGTGATACACACAAAGACACATATATATAGTTCATGTGTTTATTTTACATTGTTGCACCGCAAGAAATTTAATTTACTACCTTTTAGAATAAACACATTTGTTGATTTACAGGAAAGACAACAAACATATTGGCTAAAGACGTTTGTTCCCCATCAGAAACTGATGTCCATATGCTTCAAGAATATCAAAATTTAAGTGCTACTGCAAAAGATGAAATACAACGTATGTTCAGCTTTTATCTAGTAAATTTCATTTTTAATGCTGTTAAATAGAAGAATTTAAGAAAGCTGGAGGGTAAAACACAAGATTACAAATTATTTGGTGAAAAAGAAAATTAATTTTTCAGTTCAAAAAGAAGTAAACAAAATCTGGGATCAGACGGAAACAACGAAATACATCATGGCAAGATGTGGTGATACCAACTTAACTGATGAGGATGTCATCTCATTGAAGGGGAATAACTGGTTGACTGACCAAGTAAAAAATTATATATTGATGAAATACTATTGAAAGTAAAGAAGAACTATAAAACAAGTTAATAGACTGACATATTTATAAAGCTTGTCGTCTAGGAATGAAAAGAAAAAAATTAAGAAATATAAATTTATTGAGGTATTTACATGTACTTATCTATTTTTTAGGTTGTTGACGCATGTTTAGGGGCCATTGCTGAGGCAGAAACAGACAAGGGAAACAAAGTTTTTAAAATGGCCACCTCAACAATGACAGCTATTGTGGAAGGACATTGTCTCCAAAACATGACTTTAACAAAGGTATGTAACAAATCTCTTTTTTGCTAATTTTTTTGAACATGCCAAGGGTAGTATTACATTTTGAATACCTAAAATACATGGATATGCCCCTGTAAAGAAGAAAACAATCCTGAAATCCTCTGGTCTGGAAGAAGTTTTTGGTGACCCTGCATGCATGCATTAATTCTAGAGTCATTTTTTCCTTTCTTCAGGTTCAGTTACTTGACTATCAAGTGATAATTGGGGCATATCTCCAACAAATGGGACACTGGGACCTTGTGGTAATTAATCTTTACTAAAAGTAGATTAAATATTGATTTCAGATTCAGAATACATGTATGTAACTAGATAATGAGGTGTAAGATGATAATTATTGTGTTTACATGTAAATGCATTTATTTGTCATTCATATTTGGATGTGTTTTACAAAACCATAAATAGGTAATAGAACCATCAACAAGAACTATATTCTTCTATAATCCTCTTGGTGAGACTCTTCTGCAGAAGAGGCGCATTCAAGAAAATTTAAGGTATGTTTTATTACACATAGAAAGAAAAAGAAATGAAAATTGAATAAAAATATAAAGGAAGGTTTAAGACTTTTTGATTGTTACTAAGCGTATAACTCAATGAATCTTTTGTTAAATAATAAATAAGATGTACTTTCAAAGTGCACGTGAAAAGTTTAATATTTTTCAATTTCAGTCATTTCTTCAACAGAAGAATAAGCCTTGGACTAGAGGCAGGCAAGTCTGAGGAGAAATGGACTCTTAAAACTGTTCCTCATACAAAACAGCAGGATGGGCAAAATTGTGGTGTATACATAATTCTGGTAGGAAAGAATGCCTTAGTTATAATTAATTAGAATTCTTATTTTTCAATGGAAAATACTTGATTTCAAAACGCACACTTACAATTTAGATTCGTATATTGTATTTGTGTATTTCTAGAGGCCAGAAATTAATATAACATTTATATATTACATATATTCATGCAGTTAAAAAAAAAAGAACTTCTAGTATTGTGAAAGATCATATGTAATAGTGCCAAAATAAGATTTTTTGTAACAATTAGCTTGCATGATATTCTGCCTTTTAAAGAAAAATATTGAATTTTTTATCCTTAGTTTTGTGAACGATATTTTACAAATGAGAGTATTTCAAACATTACAAGTGAAGAACTGAGAAATACTAGAGTGAGACTTGCTAATCAGCTGTTGATGTATCAAGGTATGCAAAGCAACCCTCTACGGTAATTTATTTTACTAGTTCCATCTAAGATAAATTTAACTTTAAGGCTATGTGCAACTCAATATAAGACTCAAAGAAAAAGTACATGTAATGTACATGGGCGGCCTGATTTCTGCCCCAGATAAAAACACTCCATGTACAGATATATTATAAATATGACATTAAGCAGATAAACATGTAATATACATGGAGTGGCCTGATTTCCGCCCCCCGATAAAAACACTCCATGTACAGATATTTTATAGATATGTACAGTTTAGGCGTCGCAAAATTAATTTTTTGGTTCTCAGGCTTTCTTCTCTTTTTTTGAGATGTATGATGTGGGAGGGAGCCTTTTTTTATATTTACCATTTTATTGCCCCAAAACATGATGAAACAGCATTTTACATTGTACAAAACCTCAAAAAATGATGAGGGAGGTGATTTTTTTTTTGTTTTTAAGTATTGATTTAGCAATAAAGAGGTTCAATGAGGCACCCGTGGAAGAAATGAGGGAGGTCCTGAGAACCTAGAAATTAATTTTCATGGCCTTATAAGATGTCATTATATGTAATCAATCATTGTCAATTAAAGGTGCAGTGTTATTCATTTTGTTTGATTTGCAGTATATATCAAAGACAAATGTCCAGCATGTGCATTTCAACTGAAACAAAGGCAAAAAAAGGTATCCCACTTTTTTGATTAAAGTTTTTTGAGTCCTTTTTACATCAACCCAAGAGATACAATGAAATTGCAAAAACTTTCATTTGAAGTATGTCCTTTTAATAACATTTTGAATTTTTTTTTGTTGTTGAATATTTTTTTACAGATAACTTGTAGACAGTGTGACAGGACATTCCACAAGTTGCCACATTGTGCTGGAGAATCTAATCAAGGCAATGAGTGTGACAATTTTGTATGTAGGCAGTGTCTTGCCTGTATTGGAGAGACAGTGAGTTTCACTCATAAAATATGAATTTGATATATCTCATCTCTGTGTCTTAAAAATTGTCTTATACAGACTAAAATTATTTTGGCATTTACCAGTAGCTAAAATGATTAAAATTTTCAAAATAGACTTCATGGAGAATATTTAATAACAAACTGAATGTCTTCGAATGAAATTGTAATATAATACAGATGTTCCAAATCTTTTTTATTTTAACTGAATATTTCTTCTGAAACAGATATCAGAGGACATTGTTGCCATGAAGGATCATCAAGCTACAAATGTAAACCAGATAAGAAGTACAGATATTCAAGAAAGCGGGTAAATACATGACTGTATACATCTATGTACAATTGTACATGTATGTTTTTCTGCTTCTTTGCACACAAATTTCAGCCAGTTTTGGCATATATAGTATTCATATTATGGTTAAAGATAAACAAAAATTCCCACACCCCTGGGTACCAATATTGAGGCCCAAAAGATTGAAGTTCTGGTGTTGGTAAAGAACTCTATTGATCATGTAGACAAAATGCACAAGTTTTCTAAAAATGAAGTTTTTACTACAGACCCTGAGACGTGCTACTACCCCAAAAAAGCGTGTAACTTTCGTGCGATTTCCGTTTCGTGCAAACCGTGTAGCGTTTCGTGTAAACCGTGCAGCGTTTCGTGCAAACCGTGTAGCGTTTCGTGCAAACCGTGTAGCGTTTCGTGTAAACCGTGCAGCGTTTCGTGTAAGCTCCAAAGCGTTTCGTGCAAACCGTGTAGCGAGCGTGCGAGAAACGTGTGAGAAACGTGCGACTTTCGTGTAAGAATCGTGTGAGAAACGTGTGACTTTCGTGTAAGAATCGTGTAAGATTCATTCGGAAGTCTTTCATTTTAAATATGGCTATCGATGGGTCAGGATGTCAAATTGTATTTATTTTATTATTGAATTAGTTATGATTGTGATATTTTTGGAGTAAAAAAAACGGAACAACAAAACGAAATTAAACGGTAATGTATAATACATGTATATATTCGTTTGTTTTCTTTTCCTTCTAGAAAAAATGAGTTCAAATTAATCATCTGTGTACAATAATTTCAGAGGCATTGAATTCAATAAACTATCAACCCGATCAGGGCTTCATAAATATTTTTTTTCTTAAAGAGAGAAAAAAAATACCGGTATATTTTTTTATTTACATGTAATAGATAAATATATATGAACTATGGTATATAAAGTATGTGAAAGAACGTTTTGAAACGATGTGTCATTTAATATTTTTTAATATATAAAAATAAATTTTGTCGCTCATTACTGTCAAATAAATGGATTATAATTTTATTTAATTTACATGCCATGAAGACCACATGTTTAGAAAAAGGGGGGGGGGGGGTATTAATCAAATTTCTAGTACAGTCTTTCATATTTTGTTGTAACTTTCAATCTAAAGTTAGTTTGAATAAATTCTAAATTTTCTGTTCTTTTTTAAATCCTTTGTTAAATGTGTGCACAGATACACCCTTCAAAATATATTGGAATCTTCTATCCGTCTTTCAGTTGTGATCAAGGTCATTTACATGTACAACAGCGATCACGGGCTCCGAGTGTATGTAACTGAAAACCTGTTTTTCTATATACATGTTGAAATCACGGCTTAATTACACTTGAAAATTACGACTGGTATTCATTTATTTATTTATTTTTGAAATAAAATGGTTCTATATATATTTAATGGGTACAACTTATATATCAGCGGATTTAATCTTTTGTTTTTAAATCCGAATTTCTAGCCGAAAACAGTAAAATAAACAGAACTTATTTTGTAGTCCTTTCATGAATATTATGATTGTAAGAAAGGTTTAGGAGGAAATTATGAATAATAATATATTATTTGTTTTGTAAATCACGCACTTTTTATTTCATCTAATTAAGATATTCAAGTTTTCTTGTAATATCCCTGAATGTCGTGTAAAGATCGATCTACATTGTATGTACAATGTATAGTCAAATGCCGCGACTATTAATTACTGTACACATATATACATTGTACATACGGCTAGCCGGGTTTTGAAATGAAGGATTTTGCAGTATGATGGGCATACTGGTGTTATTGAATAAGTTTCATGTAAAAAAGAGGAAGAGAATAAGAATAGATTAAGACATCACATATACATATAACCCCCCCCCCCCCCTTAAAAAATATTTCTTTAAAAATGAATCAATAATCGTTGGTAGAGTATATAGACAAATTTTGTTATTAAATCAAAATCAAGAAATAATCCGCCTACGGAAATCAAACACAATATAATCAATATTATTTCAAATCAATGAGTTCATATTTCTGCAGTAAGAAATCGAATTTTTGTTTGAATTAATATCAAACTATACTCGTAAAAATATTTAAATGCAAGAGATACATTGTAATGGATGACTTACAAACAAAAATTGTATTTTATAAAAAAAAAATCATTCATGATATCGGCATTTCGTTTTTAAACATTTGGATAAATAAATTAATACAAAAACAACAATTATTTATTTATTAATTACAACTGTCAGAGAATTAAATATTTCTATCGGTGATATTTTTTATGTAAGAAAAAAATTTTGTTAGTACATAATATTTCTCCTTTTTTTTTTTCTTTCTCTTTCCTTTTAATTTGAAATTAACTTGATCAAGATATACTCCAGAGGTTCAAGGATGCTGTGTTTAAATCTGTAAGTGATGTAATAATATTTCTCCTTTTTTTTCTTTCTCTTTCCTTTTTTACATAAACTGAGGAATAGTTAATAGTTGTTAACATTACTGTCTGTCATATAATGATATTTTTTATGTAAGAAAAAATGTGTACCTAATTTTTCCCCTATACATTTTGGTAGTTATGGAACTACTGATCTAACATTCATTGGGTGAATCAATTTAGAAGAATTGCAGTGTAATTTTGGTTAAAGTGTTGTAAATCTAATGGAATTTGTAAAAACACTCATTGTTTGACACTTAGACAAAGAAACTATTTTTAGAGAGATTATCTGTCTTAGGTACCAGTTTTCATGTCCATATTAGGTAATGCATAGTGCGAGGGACAGGAAGATCCCGGGGGGTCCGTAGCCACGTGACCCCCAAACTAATCCGCATCAAATTTCATGTAACATCATCATTCCTTTGTTTTAAATTCAGCTGGATGTACATGCTCTGTGTTTTTTTGTTATTATTATTCGGATTTTCTTTTGTGGTGCTATTTATTTAAAAAGCAATTTGGATTTCCCGTTTTGAACTGTGACTTAAACTAGTTAAAGTTTCTAAAAGCCAAAGGCTATGGCAGAACGTCGTAGTGCACGGGCAGGCTCGGCAAGTGCTCCTTACGACCTGACAAAACCGGAGAACTGGACTGTGACAAAACTGAGAGAAGAACTGGCGAGAAATAGTGTACCCTTTCGGCAATCAGACAAAAAGAGTGTCCTGATCAGAAAGATGAAAGATCTCGACCAAAACGCTTCCTCGGAGAACCAGATTGCTGAATTTAGATCGGGCTCGAGTTCCTCTCGTCAAATCCAAGATGGCGGCGACAAAAACTACGAGACGCTTCTACAATCTATATCCACGCTCACTAGCACGGTTTCGAAACTACAAGAGGAACTGAGAGTAGTTTCGAACAAGGTGAATGCCCCGTCATCATCGACAACTGCGACAGGGAATCCAGTCCTGCCCCCTGCTCCGGAACAGACCCAAGCTGCAGACGTTGGATTTACATTACAGTCAGCGTTACAAAGTCCTGGACAGAGCACTGAGGGTAGGTCTAGTTTCCTACAAAAAACTAAGTTTGGGTACGCTATTGAATCGTTACCCTTTGTCGAAACTGTGCCCCCTTCCCTGAGAAAGGCCATAATCGAGGGAAAGGATATTAATTTGGCTCAGCTCTTAATACCGACTACCAACGCTATCACCATCCGTGAAAAAGAAGGAAAAATCACCGACGAAAAACCAGAAAAAGACCCACGACTGCACAAAAGTCTTTCAATATCGGAATTTATATTTGCCTTTGGCATTTACAAAAACATTATGTGTAACACCTATCCTCAACGAAGAGAAGAGCTAGACTTGTACGAGAGAGACATCGTGGACATGTCCAATCGTTATGGTGGCAAAGGATTCTACGAATACCACAAAACCTTTTCAGCTCGGGCAGCAGCTCATTTGAGATATTCTAACATTCCTGTAGACTGGTCTGTGAGAGATAATACCCTTTTCTGCAACATTTTTGCAAACCTGCGACCTTCTGCATGTTATGTTTGTAGCAGCATTAACCATACAGCATCATTTTGCCCAATGTCTTCACTCAGGAACTATTCTGCAGGATCCAATCAAAGGAAGGGACGAGAGTCAGACAGCCAAGGACGACCCCGTATAGCATTCCAAGACAGGGAAATTTGTAATAACTTCAACTCTGTTAAAGGGTGCGTCAATGCAAGATGTGGAAATGCCCATGTCTGTTTACGCTGCCAGGGAGAACATACAGCTCAGAAGTGTAGTGATTCAAAAAACGGCCAATCGCCCCGCTCAAGACGTTAAGCGGGGTTAACCTTCATTCATGTGTACCGTCGACTATAAAAATATCTGTGTTACAGGAAGAGTTAAAACATTATCCAGATAAAGACTTTGTGCACTTTCTCATTAAAGGTTTAAAAGAAGGATTTCATACTGGGATTAACCCCCTGCCAACAGAACCTTTGGAATGTAAAAATCTTTTATCTGCAAAACAGGATCCTCTAACCATAAACCATTTGATAGCTGAAGAACTGGAGAAAGGTTACCTTATTGGTCCGTTTGACAAAGTACCATTCGAAATTTACAGAATCAACCCCATAGGACTAGCTGAAAGTAAATATTCAAAAAAGAAACGTTTGATAGTTGATATGTCGGCACCACATAACAGTCAGGACCATCCAAGTTTAAATGATCTTATAAACAAAGACGACTTTTCTCTCCAATACGTGACTATTGACCATGCAATTCAAACCATTCAATCAATGGGTAGGGGAAGCTGGCTCTGCAAAGCCGATATTATGGATGCCTTTAAACTCATTCCAATCCACCCTACTTTGTGGCCATATCATGGCATAAAAAACAACAACAAATATTACTTTTTCACAAGACTAGTTTTTGGTAGCCGGTCAAGCCCAAAAATATTTGACTTCCTATCATCCGTGGTGTGCTGGATCTTTGAGAATAATTATGGGATATCAAATATTCTCCATTTACTTGATGATTTCTTAACAATCGATCCACCAGACTTTGAAGCAACACGGACAATGGCCTTGATTCACCATGTATTTGGTCGACTTGGTATTCCTTTATCTATCAAGAAAACGATGGGACCATGTACAGAACTGGAATACCTTGGCATCACCCTTGATACCAAAAGGATGGAGGCCAGGTTACCCGAGGAAAAATTAATCAGGATATCTGATTTAGTGCAGCAGTTCTCAAACAAAAATTCCTGCACAAAACGTGAACTTCTTAGTCTCCTGGGTCACTTAAACTTTGCCAGTCGCGTGGTTCTTCCTGGAAGATCATTTGTGTCTTATCTGATCACACTTTCATGTAAAGCTCGGGAACTACACCATCATGTCACTTTGAATTCGGAATGTAGACTTGATCTGTATATGTGGTCCAAATTCCTGAAAGGATGGAATGGCAGATCATTTTTCATGGACATAACAACTACGGATGCAGCCGATCTACATCTTTTCACTGATGCCACGAATACCGCTTATGGAGGTTTTTTCAACAATCAGTGGTTTCAAGACTACTTCCCTGAAGAACTGGTCTCAGAAGACAAATCATTATCAATGGCCTTATTCGAACTTTACCCAATTGTTGTGGCCTCTATTCTGTGGGGGGCACAGTGGTCTGGTTTAAAGATCGTATTTAATTGTGACAACGAAGCTACAGTGCACATTATTAACAAAGGACGTTCAAAGATCCCCTCCATTATGAAGGTTATGCGTAAACTAACTCTTTGTTCAGCAACAAACAATTTTGTAATCTATGCTCGTCATATTAAGGGAACAACAAACTGTATTGCTGATGCATTATCTCGTTTTCAGATGGATCGTTTCCGTCGCCTGGCTCCACATGCAGACCAGCTGCCGATGACGTGCCCAGAGTATTCGAGCCTCATCCTCATCTAAAGAAGCATGCTGACTATCTGGTTGATGCCTCCATCGAGCCAAGCACAGCAGCAACATACAGATCCGGATTGGACTGTTTTCTAAAATTTCTCGTTATGTCGCGGGTGTGTCTTGCATTTTGTAAATTGCCGGTTATAAATGAGGATTTACTTGTTTATTTTGTCACACACTGTCAATTAAATTTGAAATTAAGGTATGAAACCATCAAAACATACCTTGCAGGAATACGTTTTTTCTACTTGAAGGAAGGCCAATGCCTTATGTTTAGAGACTTTGAAAGACTTCATTGTGTACTACGTGGTGTTAAAAAGCAGCAGTGCAATAGCAAATCAAAAAGATTACCTATCACTTTTTCAATTCTATCTCAAATTTGTGATTGCCTTAACAAGGGTGTTTTTTCACCCTGGCTAGATCTGATGTTATGTTGTATATGTAAAATGGCTTTCTTTGGTTTTTTGAGATGTGGTGAATTTACAACAAATTTTCATAAGCAGCAAGATTATTTAACCATACAAAATGTCACTTTTGCAGAAGATGGTTCTTTTTATACTTTGACACTTAATTCCTCTAAGACAGATCCTTTCCGACAAGGGATTGATATTAAGGTGTTCGAGAATTCGCATTTAAATCCAGTTAAAACTATGAGAATGTATTTTGAAAGTCGACTAAATATTTGTCACACACAAAACCATGCTGCTCTATTTGTTGATGATGAGGGTAATCCTATGTCCAGAAATTTTTTCCTACTACATGTGAAACAAGTCCTATCCAGGTTAGGTTTTGACGATACTAGGTACTCAGGTCATTCCTTCAGAATTGGAGCTGCCACTACAGCAGCTGCCGTTGGTATTCAAGATCATTTAATTCAGTCATTAGGTCGATGGAATTCAGACTGTTATGCAAGGTATATCAGAATCAATCAAGATACCATTCAGTCTGCACAAACTAAAATGTGTTCATTTTAAGATGTTTCCTTTTTCATCATTTATCTTCTTGGGGGCATTCACTCACATCAATACTTAGTACCCACTACTACTTGATGTTCATTCATTTTGGCCTGTTTTCCCCCAATTTCAGATAAATTTTTCTGCATTATATAATTAATTATAGCTACCCGATGGTGTCAACCCGGGTCCTTTCATGTACCTGATGGTGTCAACCCAGGTATCTCGAAATTATCTCAAGTATCTCAAAATTTAAGCCTGACGGTGTCAACCCAGGTTCCATTCATTAGAACCCGATGGTGTCAACCCGGGTACCCTCATACTCAACCTGATGGTGTCAACCCAGGTTTCTATGGTTACAGTTTTAGCTATAAATTCCTGACGGTGTCAACCCAGGAAGTTATTTTTATTTTTTCTATATGTGAGTAGCCCCCGAGAAGGCCAAAGATGTATTGTGTAAATGAAATGGATGATAAAATTGTTTTTGTTTTTCCTTATGTTTTGACTATGTTCAATAAATGTGGAAATTTCAATTGCTCTTATTATATGTATAAAATGATATTTTTTATGTAAGAAAAAATTTTGTTTATACATAACTTTTAAGTTTTTCATGTGTACCTAATTTTTCCCCTATACATTTTGGTAGTTATGGAACTACTGATCTAACATTCATTGGGTGAATCAATTTAGAAGAATTGCAGTGTAATTTTGGTTAAAGTGTTGTAAATCTAATGGAATTTGTAAAAACACTCATTGTTTGACACTTAGACAAAGAAACTATTTTTAGAGAGATTATCTGTCTTAGGTACCAGTATTTCATGTCCATATTAGGTAATGCATCGTGCGAGGGACAGGAAGATCCCGGGGGGTCCGTAGCCACGTGACCCCCAAACTAATCCGCATCAAATTTCATGTAACATCATCATTCCTTTGTTTTAAATTCAGCTGGATGTACATGCTCTGTGTTTTTTGTTATCCCACCCACCTTCCCCATACTGCACCTTTTGTAATATTATGTTTCAAAAATGTGTTTAAAATGTTTTAATTATACATGTATATACCATCATTGGGGCTCTCACAATTTTTGATGTATTTATGTTCAACTGCCTGTTTTTTCCCCCATTCAGATTAAATTTTGCCTGTTTTCCCCCAATTTCAGATAAATTTTTCTGCATTATATAATTAATTATAGCTACCCGATGGTGTCAACCCGGGTCCTTTCATGTACCTGATGGTGTCAACCCAGGTATCTCGAAATTATCTCAAGTATCTCAAAATTTAAGCCTGACGGTGTCAACCCAGGTTCCATTCATTAGAACCCGATGGTGTCAACCCGGGTACCCTCATACTCAACCTGATGGTGTCAACCCAGGTTTCTATGGTTACAGTTTTAGCTATAAATTCCTGACGGTGTCAACCCAGGAAGTTATTTTTATTTTTTCTATATGTGAGTAGCCCCCGAGAAGGCCAAAGATGTATTGTGTAAATGAAATGGATGATAAAATTGTTTTTGTTTACAGATGTTTAGGAGACTTTGGTGATGGGTATGTATAATTACAATTTAAAATAGTGAATTCATTGTGAAAATACGGCATATATATATAATCAATCATTATATGTAACTTCCTCATTTTTTATTCTCATATAAGTTGTTTCTTTCCAGATATATAAGTCTCCTTCCAACATCAATTCGACAAAGTGATATGTGTCCTTTGGATACAGGATGTTCTCCTTCAGAAAGTTTATTTGCCTCCATTAGTATCTTAATTTGGGGGAATATCCACAGAAAGCAGTTTCTAAAACTTGCTGTTGTTTGCTATGAAATCAGAAATTGTCCAGTGCGTATTCATAGCAGTCATTTCAACAAAACCCATGATTTTTTAACAAGAAAAATACTTTTGCTACTTTGTTTCTTTGAACCAATTTGGAAAGTTAATGTTTTTCTTTTTTTTTTTTCACTAACAGATTTTTTTGTGTATTGTTTAATTTAATTCAACAAGTAAACTCTTTTATCTAGAGATCACTACGTCCTTTCTTTAAAAAATGTTATGAAATTACAAAACAATGTACATGTATATGTACCATTTTTTCTTGATACATAGTTTACATGTAGGGAAGTTTCTGTTCTGATATATGTCTTATATTTTTCACAAGGATAAAAAAAATCTAATATGGAAGGCAATAAAATCAACATCCACAAGGGATACTAAAGATTTATGTAAGAATTTACTTTAATTCATTAAACTTTTTACTTAAAAAAATATATAAATATATACATGTACTAGTATCTATCTATTTATCTTCCTTTTTCGAATCTCTTTCTTTCCACAATGTCTGACAAAGTTACAATTTCTAACAATGTTTTAAATTACCGGTACTGCATTTACTAGTTCTGGAAGAGCCAACATTGCCAAAAACACCGAACAATGAAGTATTTACAATGTATATAGTTTGGACTATAGAATTCTTTGTTATTTATATTTACCTATCTTTCAGGGGAGATGCATTTGAAAAGCATTGCTTCTTTCACGCAGAACAACATTATTGTATACTCCAAAGGTGGATCAGAAATATATTCCAGTGAGAAAAGACGAGACTGGCCTTGTCATTTCCGATTACTTTTGATAACACTGAAAGGAGCTTCCAGCATGTCATATTTGCCATTGGTTGAAGGTTTTTTTGTTGGTAGAGGACGTAGATTTTATGAGAAATGTGGAGCCATTGCATTTGGGGTGTGCCAGGGAGATTTTGGGGAAAAAATATCTTGCAGTTTTTGTGGCCAAAATTACCATAGGCATTGTATTGAAATAGAAGATGAGCCTGTATACTGTGGATGCCACATTCCAATGCCATACAAGCTTAAAGAGTAATTATTAAGTGTTTTTTATTTCATTTCTTTTTATTTAGACACTCCTCAAACAATAAGTAAATTGATCATTTGCTGCAGTAATTGTAGCATGCAGACAGTTTTTATATTTATCTATCCATTTCAGTCAATCATTTTATCAGAGTGATGAGTGCGTTAATAAAGTCCTGAAGAAAATTGACATACAGGTCAGTAACTGTTTAAAGCTTGGCTTTGGGCATTGAACAATGCTTAGTACAATTGTTCTCACCAAGTCCTCATTCATTAACTTTTTCAATTTTATTTCTTTGGTAGAAACTTATCAAATCAATAGAAAGTGGGGGAAAGCCATCATTTAGAATGGAGATAACCAAGGGCAAAAACTCAGGAAGAAAACAATGGCTTATAGAGAAAAATAAAAGTATCATGGCCTTGTCAGAAAAGATGGTAAAGTTTTATTCCTTCTGTCTTTGGTATCACAAAAAATGTAGGAATTAAATGATACATTCTGCCGACTTATTTTTCCTATAACCATTGAAGAGAGGATTCAACCTTTGTGAAAAATATTTATATAAATTTGTTTTATGATTAACTTAATCCTTTCATGCATTAGCATAATTAATTTAAAAACATATGTTATAAATATCCAAAAAAAATTACCTCAACAACTATTTTCTGGTGAGTATTTCACACTGTAAGTTTATTTCATGAATCTCTTTCCTCAATTTTGTAGATTGATTTACTTACCAACAAGTTAACGAAAACTGCACACTGCTGTGGGAGAAGTGTGAATTATGCACTTGACATTTACATTCCAGAGGTATAGCAAGAACTTCATGTTTAAATATTGCAAGAAATATTCTTATCATAATGCCTATCATAAATTTCTTGATTGCTACAGATTTTGGTAAAAGTTATCCAAAACCAGGAAATGGTTAACAGATTCCAAGCCGAATTAATCATGGATGAATTACCAGTACCTGTCCCAGATGAGCAATGAGGGTTAAAAAGCATTGACAGAAGTAGTGTCTAATTTATGTCTGTTTTAATTATTTGCTACATGACACTGTATTGGGATCTACATAATATATTTGATACATGAAATAACTGAGTTTTTGATGTAGGTCTATGACAATGCCTGTATGAGTGTTTACCTACCTATACCTGATCTGAAATAATTGAGTATTTGATGTAGGTCTATGACAATGTCTGTATGAGTGTTTACCTACCTGTACCTGATCTGAAATAACTGAGTATTTGATGTAGGTCTATGACAATGTCTGTATGTGTGTTTACCTACCTGTACCTGATCTGAAATAACTGAGTATTTGATGTAGGTCTATGACAATGTCTGTATGAGTGTTTACCTACCTGTACCTGATCTGAAATAACTGAGTTTTTGATGTAGGTCGATGACAATGTCTGTATGAGTGTTTACCTACCTGTACCTGATCTGAAATAACTGAGTTTTTGATGTAGGTCTATGACAATGTCTGTATGAGTGTTTACTTACCTGTACCTGATCTGAAATAACTGAGTTTTTGATGTAGGTCTATGACAATGTCTGTATGAGTGTTAACCTACCTGTGCCTGATCTGAAATAACTGAGTTTTTGATGTAGGTCTATGACAATGTCTGTATGAGTGTTTACCTACCTGTACCTGATCTGAAATAACTGAGTTTTTGATGTAGGTCTATGACAATGTCTGTATGAGTGTTTACCTACCTGTACCTGATCTGAAATAACTGAGTTTTTGATGTAGGTCTATGACAATGTCTGTATGAGTGTTAACCTACCTGTACCTGATCTGAAATAACTGAGTTTTTGATGTAGGTCTATGACAATGTCTGTATGAGTGTTTACCTACCTGTACTTGATCTGAAATAACTGAATTTTTGATGTAGGTCTATGACAATGTCTGTATGAGTGTTAACCTACCTGTACCTGATCTGAAATAACTGAGTATTTGATGTAGGTCTTTAACAATGTCTGTATGAGTGTTTACCTACCTGTACCTGATCTGAAATAACTGAGTTTTTGATGTAGGTCTATGACAATGTCTGTATGAGTGTTTACTTACCTGTACCTGATCTGAAATACTGTAAACCAACTTTTATTCGCGTGCGAGAATTTTTCGCGAGGTTCGCGAGAGCCTCGTCATCGCGAATATTTCTCGCCGCGAACGTGTCCTTAAAGTATCTTTTTCTATTAAAACAGTTCTTGAAAGGCTTGATCGCGAAAATTTATCGTCGCAAACTAGTTTACTCTCGGTAAATCGCGAAATAAAGTCGTCGCGAATAAAAATTGGTTTACAGTAACTGAGTTTTTGATGTAGGTCTATGACAATGTCTGTATGAGTGTTAACCTACCTGTACCTGATCTGAAATAACTGAGTTTTTGATGTAGGTCTATGACAATGTCTGTATGAGTGTTTACCTACCTGTACCTGATCTGAAATAACTGAGTTTTTGATGTAGGTCTATGACAATGTCTGTATGAGTGTTTACTTACCTGTACCTGCTCTGAAATAACTGAGTTTTTGATGTAGGTCTATGACAATGTCTGTATGAGTGTTTACTTACCTGTACCTGATCTGAAATAACTGAGTTTTTGATGTAGATCTATAACAATGTCTGTATGAGTGTTTACCTACCTGTACCTGATCTGAAATAACTGCGTTTTTGATGTAGGTC